AAAGTGTCTATAATTGGTTCACCGAATGTCGGAAAGAGTAGTCTTATAAACAGGTTATGTGACCGCGAATTAGCTATCGTTTCGCCAATCAGTGGCACCACAAGAGATGTCATCGAATCGTGGATTAATCTCAACGGCTATTCCGTCTCCATAGCAGATACGGCCGGTATTAAAGACATTGACAATCATTTCCACGATATTATCGAAAAGGAAGGCATTATTAGAGCCATTAGAAGGTAAAACATATTCAATATATTGCTATTATTGGCAATCATTTGATATTTAATGAATTGTCTGTTAAATTCAGTGCCAAAGACTCGGATCTAATAATGGTTGTGATGGACGCCACGACTCTCATCGCCAGTGATTGCGATTCTCTGTTAAATCCGTTATATTTGAAACAAACAGAGAATTGGAGTAAAAAAGTAATTTATTTAATCAACAAAATTGATTTGATATCAAAACAAGATTACAATCATTTGCAACAAAATTGTAATAAACATTTGAGTGATTGGATTGCCATCAGCTGTAAGACATCGGAGGGTTTGCAAGAGTTGACAATAAAGTTGACACAAATTGTGGACCAGTTGTGCGGAAACCCAATCGACGAAACGCTGTTCATAACGGACAGACATGAGGCACATCTCACACGTGTTGTCCAACGGATCAAACAATCGCTGGAAACGGTGGACAAAGACATGGCTATATCGGCCCATCGCTTGCGAGAAGCGATTCAACAATTATCTTATATAACCGGAAGAATAACGACCGAAGATGTATTGGATGTCATTTTTAGAGACTTTTGTATTGGAAAATAAAAATTCAAATAATTATACAAATAGTTTCATTTAAAATACAAACACTTTATATATAAACGGATCCATCGCTTGGTTTAAGATAACCGGTGGCTATAAGTATGACATCAATTAGAGTCCAGACTCCGAGACCACCGAAACTGAAGAGTTTGCCGACGCCTTCCTGCCAAAGACCCAAATAGAAGCGATCGATTCCAAAGCCACCCAATGTTATACTGTGTGTCAGCACATCCAACACATCCATTAATTCAATGGCCACTCAACTGGTAAGCAATGGATCCATACCTGAGCAACAGTGCTGTCGACCACTTATATCCCGACACGAAATGACAGTCTTTGTACTTATGGAAGACTCTGTTCCCCAAACAGACAATCTTCGGGTCATTCACTTCACAGCGAGCCTTATATCGGGAGTTGTAATCACACGAAGAGTTTGGCGAACAGTTGTATAAGTGTTGCGGCAATTGATAACAAAAGGCACACAAATGTCTTCGCGTGATGTTTGTCTCACCCTTTGGTTTTGGGACACAATTCATATGACATGAGGTTAGGTATGATTGAGTGGACACGTGTTGACACTTACGATACAAGTGATGCCTTCGATGGGCCGACAATTGAGGTCCAGTTGTTGTCCGTAAACACAAGATTTTGGGACACAATTCATATGACATGAGGTTAGGTATGATTGAGTGGACACGTGTTGACACTTACGATACAAGCGATGCCTTCGATGGGCCGACAATTGAGGTCCAGTTGTTGTCCGTAAACACAAGAGTAGTTGACTTTGCATTCAATGCAGTTATCATTCAATTCATGACAATTGCTATTCAATTGATCGCAAACTTTCTTCTCTGGCTTTGAATCCTTTGAATCAATTGTTTGTTGAGTTTTAGTCAATGAAACCAATGATAGGGTTATATATATTGTTATAATTAATGTTAAATAGTGTCCAATAAATGGCATATTTCTAGCGAATCAATGTTTACACCAAAACACAGTCCAGTGTTTACAATGACTGCACCTGTGGTTCAATGATTGCCATCTCTGATCACTCAACACAACTCACACATCAATTCTCACACCTCCTCTACTCTACACTCATTCCTCGCTTTTATGAACAGTAAATGTATAGAAATGTTGAAATCATTTTAAATGTCGATCATTCAATTGGAATTAATATTGGAACCAATGTTAGTGTTTGATTCAATGTTACAATGATTCAATGAATGATGGTTGTGATTCCATTTTATTTCTAATCAATACAATGCTATAACTGCAATACCAATGGCTCGGAGTGTCATTGGGTCGGAGTCTAACTCCCTCTCCCATACATTTATGCACACTCTCCTAAAAATCATTTGTACAGCTAATAAAGAGACTCCGAGCCAATGACACTCCGAGCCATTGGTATTGCAGTAATAATACGGTTGAAGTTCAAAAAGAATTAGCATTGCTTAATTTCAAATGAACTTGCCAAGTTACCTATTTATTCGCAAACCTTCCCTTTAAGCTGTCACAATATTTATGTCAATGTTTCGCATTTCCCTTTAATGTGTGGAATTTAGAAATTACCCAGAGCCATTTCAATTTTCAATTTCAAATTCTCTCTCTCTCTCTCTCTCTCTCTCTCCCTCTCTCTCTCTCT